GTTTATACCTCAATATTTTATTCTCAATGTAGATTGCTGAAATACTCAACAGTGGGTTTGAAGATGTAACTGATGACATTGTCCTTTTTATATCTTAAATCATCTTTTCCTTGTTAGAATAGTTGATGCCAAATTATAATACTTCAGATATTTTAACAGATTATTTACACTAAATGTCTTCTATTTTCCTGATAGTTTAGTGAAGTTTCAGGTTTACTTAAAATCTACCTTACAATTAGTTTTTTTTTTTAAGATTTTATTTTTTATTGGAAAGGCAGATATACAGAGAAGAGGATCCAGGATGAATGCTGGTTCATATCCTGGCTGCCCCACTTCCCATCCAGCTGCCTACTGGTGGCCTGGGAAAGCAGTCAAGGATGGCCCAAAGCCTTGGGGCCCTACACCAGCATGGGAGACCCAGAGGAGGCTTCGGTTCCTGGCTTCGGATCGGCTCAGTTCTGGCCATGGCAGCCACTTGGGGAGTAAATCAGTGGACAGAAGATCCTTCTCTCTGTAGCTCTTTCTGTCTGTAGTTCTGACTCTCCAATTAAAAAAAAAGAAAAGAAAAACAAGCAATTTACTAAATAGAAGGCTTTATATTAGCACAGAGACTTTCATGTAGCATACATATGATTGTCTTTGTGAATTGTAAACAGTGGAATTAAGACTCTTGCATAAATTTGGGAAAGAATAATTTTGGTTCAGAATGCATTGATTCATAAATCAATTCTAAGCAAGAATTTCTTCTTTTTTGTTCACCACTTTACATATTAAACAGCAAAAGTGCCTGGCTTAAAGATTTCTGTCAGTACATCAGCAAATTATTTGGTAGAGATGGTGTATATGAATTTATACATACTTCTATAAAATCATTTACATCTTGCTTTTTTTCCAGGTACATCAACCTGCATATTCTTATGTATACGCATGTCATGCCCACTTAGGATAAGATTTTTAAAGAATAGATGCTGAATTTAGCTGCCACTATAAAAACCTTTGGGTTTACCCTAATATGATTAAGATATGAATCAATATGCATCTATTTTGGTAACTTTCTTCCTTTTCCATAATAATAATATTATCTCATTTATTTTATGATTAAAGATATTTTCATTTGACCTTATCTTTAACATTATCATACAAGAGAATTTCAAAATTCATGAAAAAATAGAAATTAAAAAATGCATTTCTATGAAGTTTTTGAGCATATCTCAATTAAACCCATGTGTTAAAAGCACTAAGGATTTAATGAAGAATTTTACGATTGAAGCTTTACACCCTATGTAGTATATAATTTTTTAAGTGGACACTTGCACTTCTTGGAATGATCAAAATATTAAAGAAGATATCCTCATTCCTGAATTAAGAGGACTCAGATCAAGCAATATAGCAAAAAAAAAAAAAAATAGAATATTGGCTTTCATTGGGTTACACTGACATTTTACTTCTGATATTCCAGTTATTTCATTTAGTGTGCAACTTAAGTAGATTTTCTTTAATGAATATAACTAAGTACTGGATGTTATATTTGTTTCCAGGAATCATTTCCAACAAAAATGAGAGGTGCAGTTTTATTGTTAGATACACAGTGTACAGTAGATCTTAGACTTGCAATTGAAGGTTGACTGTACAACTCTTTAGAGAATTAACCTCCACAGCAGAGTTTATGTTCTACTTTTTTGAGCTGATTCCAGTTATTTGCAATTTTTGATTGTGCTTTGTTTGATCTCCAGATGTAGATTTGTAAACTATAGTTTACAGAGTATGAGTCCTTATTAAATGTTCTTTTAAAAACATGGACTTCCTACCTAAAAAGAAATACATTGATATTAACACCAAAGAATTAGCAAAACTTACATTTTGTGGGTAGCTGTCCTTCTGCTGAGAAATGTGAAGTGATCAAAGGAGATAAACTGAAATCCTTTGATGATCAGGTTTCCAGAAAGTCTCCAGATGCCCTATACTTTATTTAATTTTTTTCCAAAAACTTCTCAGATAAGTTACTTTGGATTCTGGAAATTGTGCTTTTGATTTTCCTTGGAAGTTAAAGACATGCTGTATTTAAAAACATTTCATAATATGGAAATGCATATTATGAAAAACTACATGGATTTCAAAATTTTGCATCAAAATAAATTTACCTTTTAATTCCGCTTTCCATGAATGCTTCAAAGTATTCTTATATTCTCATAATAATATAGCAACACTTCAATCAATAGTAGCATTGCCGTTTTCAGTGCATTAAGTAATATATTTATTCATTTTTCCCCTATATAGTTTATAACTGGAAGGGGATAGAGGCCCCTCGACATAAAAATCTGTAGTCTGAAGTATGTGCCTCAGAAATAAGTTTTGAAAGTTGTGGTTTCCATGGAAACCATTGTTTGAACTTTTTCTTTCAATAATGAACCAAAGCATTGACTAGAAACCAAAAGAGATGCATATTGTTTCTTGGGGCTGTGGGCAGAAGGAAAGAGAAACAGAAGTTCAGATAAAGCAAGCCATGTGTATCCTTCAGTGATTTTTAGGCAGGCATTTGTCTTTTAAGTACATTTGGATTTGACCACAAGCTACCTGTGGCACTCTGGGCTTTAGACCTTCATTTTAGAGTGAGCATGGAGAAGGATTTATGCCGCTGACTTAAGTTACACTGTTAATAATGTTCCCACAGAAACATCATCTACCATCAGCCGAAGATTTGCTTGGTAGTAGTATTTTTCTGTGATTTTTGTACTACTTAGCATGTCTTTTTATGAGAGAATGGATATTAATTTATCCCTTCTTACTAATTCAAATAGTGATGAATTCTTTTAAAACAGATTGTTTAAACTGTAAGCTTCTAAGCAGGGTATGTCCACGAACATCAAGAAAAGAATGAAATAGATTTCTAAATTCTGAAATTGCAAATTTAAACTTCAAAAGTGTCACAGCCTTTCAGAAGCTTCGTGCATTCATACATTATGTGAGGCTTACTCTTTTCCTGTGAGACAATCAGTGATGGTTCTAGAATAATGTTCACAAAACAAAGTCCCACCCACAGCAGACATCAGTCAACAGCGATCTTCTCATCAGAGCACAGATGAATTAATAGCCATAGGACAGCAAAATGTCTTATTTACAACAGTGACGAAGCCTGTGTCCAGTATAGGGATGCTCATAATATCACATCTTTGGACATGAGGTCCCCAGAAAACTATGATTCCAGTTATAACCCTAGTATGATACACGACCAAGAAATGACTCTGAGAGGAAGAGCAAATGATATGTTGAGCAGGCTGTGAGCAGTAAAATAAATAAATAAATAAATAAATCCTCTACTTTTTTTTTTTTTTGCAAAAAAGTTATTTTTTGGCACTTAACTCTGTATCAATGTGCTTTGCTGGACTATATTCCACGTTTTATCATGGGTGACTTGTAATATGATATAAAACATTATATTGGATCAACTGATGAGTATAATTTGATCCTTTTGGACAAGTGGGCATACTTCTGTGATGAGTAACACAATCTGTGTTTCCAGTGAATGTTCCCTTGCATTAAATGCTTAGTGTGCTTTTGCTACCATTTCATTAATGATAGTAATGGCTAAAATCTAGAACTCATGGAATTTTAAAAATTATGTGAAACTTTTTGTCTATAGATAAGTTTCACATTTTATTAGTTGCTCAGTAATTGTTATGTTTAGCAGAACAATCTTCCCCTTAGTGTTTAGTACATAAGGTGATAATAGCAGATATGCTGTAGAACATTTAAAAAGTCTAAGAAAAATCAAAATCCTTAACATATGTTCATGTGCATAGCTAAATGTATGTGGTGATGATCATTAAGAGTTTCTAAAAATGTAATTATTTTTAAAAAACACTTTAGATTTAGACAGTATACATCATTGCTATTCTAAAAATGAAGTTGCTTTTTTCTCTATATAGTTGAATTTTGCTTCAATAATTATCAAAAATGATATTTTACTACATTTGAGATTGTGCTTGAAAACTGGTATCTTCTAAGTTAATTATAGATGTTTGATAGAAATAAAGCAGGCTAGTAGAATTGTTTATTCTCTGAACCTGGAAACTCATAAGGCAAAGTAAATTACTATATGCTGCCAAATTCCTCAGGCTCCATTGAGAATGTCCACATCCTCCCAGGAATATCTCATTCTAGCTGGTGTATTGTTTACAAACCAGATTTGTCAAAGATATGATCCATGAATTCCAGAGATGGAAACTGATAAACATCACTGAAAATTTTTATAACCAAGGCATAAACAAGAAAAGTAGAAAAAAAAAGTAAAAAATGTTTCAGTGGTTTTCATGAAATTAGCCATGAATATCTTTATGATCATTCTAAAAGTGATCAGCAGATGAACAAGAAAGGAAACACGTTTATGTGTAACCATTCTATACATATACATACACACTATATGTGTGTGTGTGTATACATATATATATATGCCATACTTTAGACAAGTCACTTAAACGCCAAGAACTAAATCTTTTCCCAGAGATGATGGGAGACAGATAGAAACCAAAAAAGTGAGTTCAAATTATAGTTTCACCACATACTTATTGTATTTTTGAAATTATCACAATAATGATAAATTTGTTGTAAAAAGAGTGTCTGATCCATGAGTAATGCGTTGTTGGATTTAATATTATGCCCAGAGAGATTTTAAAAAGAGAAATGAATCAGGGGTGTAAATATATGGAAAAACACACTTTAACACAGGCCGGTGAAAACTCTGCTACAGTCTCAGGTGATGCTTCTGGTGAGGTGACCTTGAATATATTGTTACATTTCTCCTAGCCTCTATTTCCAAAATTGAAGTGATAGTTGTGGAGTGACAAGATGAAGGGAAATTGGAAATTCCCTGCAAATTATAAATATTCAGTGGCAGGCTCCCTTTGTCCACACTAGAGCTAGTTGATTAAAATTGCCAAAAAATTATTCATTGTTCATTGTTTTTTTATGGTGAATTAAATGTATTTTGTATCGCCTTTCAGGGTGAAAATGGCTTACCTGGTGTTTCAGGCTTACCTGGCCAAAAGGTAAGAAGTTGTCTTAAGCGTTTCATGGGAGTTAAGAATTTTCACATATGACGATTGATTTTGTACATGATGTTGTTAAGACTCTGAAGTTTTGTCTAATTGTACTGGATTCCCTCGGACTGTTGGCTTCCCAAAGGGGACTCCCGGAGTCTGCTGTCAGAGTTCTCTCAAACTGATCGCTCTGGGAGGGATGGGGAGCAGCATGCTTCCCCAGAGAAGTCCGTCCCAGTGCTTTCTGGGGGCTGTGGGAATAAAAGTAGCTCTGGAAATGATTTCCTTGTTTTTAGAGTCTAGCATGTGGAATGGAACAGTTTTATTACCTTTGGCTGGAATTGGTTACTTCTTGCTTCCGTCTTGTGTGTGTGTGTGTGTATCCCAAATTGAGCTCAAGAGTGATTATAAGTTACACAATATTAAAATGCACCACAGAGAGCTCCGCTCTTCAGGTGTTTTTCCTTCCAGAATAATAAACATAGTAAAGCACTTGGGAAGCATTTTCTCCCTGAGTCTAGCATCTTTCTCTTGCCTAGGGCGGACTTCCTTTGCGCTGCTTTACTATTCAAAGGTGGTTTTCTGCTTCTGGGGAAGAGTATGATTCTCTGTGACCAGCTTCACTGGAAATGCAGAGATGACACAGCCAGTGTCCTGGAGGGACGTGAAGCCACTTCAGGAGGGGCCACCCAGATTAGCCCAAAGAGGAGCGCATTACCGATGCAGTGGGTGCTGTTCACCAAAGCCAGCCACGTACATTCTATGCTCAGGAGAACTTTTACACGCTTTAAGCAACAAGAAGTCGCTATGCATCTAATGGTTTTGCTTTGTAGATGAAACTACCATTTAAAAGATACAGGTTTATTTATACTTACAGCATTTGAAAAACTTTCTTTACTTGGCACCAAAATGTTAGTAAGCTCAAACTGGCAGCCATGAAATGGCAAGTTTCTGTGTTTCTTCACAGCAGTTCTAGACAAAACCCAGGAATCCAGCATGTGCTGCATCTGTGAGATGAGCTGCAAGCCAAGGGGGGTTCAGATTTATCTGCTGGGAAACAATTTTGGACTTTTTAGCGGCTGTTTGTGGTCGCACCATCCTGTTGATATTGTGGCTGGTAACACTAGAGACGTTTAGCAGCTTCAATGCCAGCTGGAATTAACAGATGAAATTGAAACATGTAGTTTAGGAAAAGTGGTAGAAATAAGGTATACCTACAACCTAGCCTATTTTCTTTCCTATTAACAGTTTTTAGAGTAGATAAGCAAAACTAATTTGTTATCACTCTAGCTCTGTATATACATTCACACATACAGGTGTATATGGATATGTGTGCATATATATAATACATTCACCAACAATATATCACTAGATTTTATATTAAAATATATTCACTTTGATTAAAATACTGGCACTAGTTTTCATATGATTAATATGAATTTTAGTTCTACCAAGTGTTATCTTGTTAAGGCTTTGCAAAAAACTGGAGGTGAGAACCCCTTCATTGGCAGTCTCTGTGCTCCCAGCAAATGTTTGCTGAATGCTTTCTATGCTCGAGACCCCATGGGAGGCTGAGAGTATACAACCAGTCCCAGCACCATGTTGCTGGCCATGTTATCCCAAGGGTATCAGATGTAGGACGTGTTCCATGACTGCTTGTAGAATTGTGAATGGCACATCAGTGGTATAAAAGTCAATGCAGGATTAGTGACACATTTTTCATATCTGAGCGATTTCAATTGAGGAAAAGGAGTCTTCAGGGCTGCTATTGTAGAGTAGCAGGTAAGGCCTGCCACCTGCCATGTTGTCATCCTACATGCAAGCTGGTTCAAGTCCCCAGTACTCCACTTTTGATCAGGCTTTTGGCTAATGTCATGAAAAACCACTAGAAGATGGCCCAAGTGCTTGGGTCCTGCACCCACATGAAAGAGCTGGAAGAAACCTCTGGCTTACATCTGGCCAGCCCAGTTGTTACAGCAATTTGGGAAGTAAACTGGTACATGGAAGATTCTCCAATTCTGACTTTTCAAAAAAGTAAATACATCTTTTTTTTTTTTTTAAGAAAAGGAGTCTTACACTTTTGAGAATAAAGATAATGTTTGAGAATAGGCAACCCTATAGCTGTCATTCCCAGAAAAGGATAGGGAGCTGGTATTGGAGCAAAAGCCAGAACTGTGGCCTTCAAAGCCTATTTGTTCATGGGAATAGAACAGAATTCCTTAAACGTCAGCTTTCTAAGCAGACTGTTTCAACTGGATCTAGTAAAATCAATGGCAATAATACTAGGCATTATGTTAATATATTCAATTCTCATAATTAATAATGAAGATACTATAATCACTCTTTTTATGGAAAATTGAGGCTTATATAGACTAAATTACCTTGAAAGTGCAAAGCTGTTCCTTTTAATAATTAAAATTATCTAAGTCTATGTAAGTTGCCATCAATTTAGAACTTAGAAACATCATTATTGATGTTTATATTGTTAGAAACATTGCTATTATTATTAGAAAATTTTATTTGTAAATGTACTGTGGATGTTACTGTAAGCATCATATTCTCTTCCACAGGGAGAGCAAGGTTCCGAGGGCAGCAAAGGAGAAATTGGCAAAAAGGTAATATTTCTATTTACATAATGTGTCTATAAAATGTATTTGACAATACTTGGAAATGCAATGTGTGCACTGTGTGTAAGCAATTCAATACTTCTATAGAAATAACAAACATTCTACTCAGACTATATATTGATGGCAATTAGGAATCTTTTTAAATCTGTTTGGATTAGACATTTTAATTAAATTTCTTCTGAGGATATAAATTTAAGCATTTGTTCAGTATTTATGATTTTAAGACATCATTGATTTACTAACTGTCCAAGTCTTTAGATAATACCTTGGCTTTTATTTATGGCTATTTCTTTTTTTTACCAATTAATTACTAGTTTACCAACGAAAATTAGAAGTTTACCAATGACACTTTCCCTGAGGTATAAATAAAAATAATGAACTCTGTCAGGATCTCACAGAAACGACATAGCATTCTAAAATCGGAATGATTTCTAAGAGTTTAATGGAGGGCTGGTTTACAAGGAGTGGTCGAGGCAAAAGAAAACCACAAGGATTGTGGAGAATCTCAGCCCAGGTTTCAGCATTCTTCATAAACCCCCTCTGAGGGCCAGAGAAAAATGTGTGGAGGAGGCTGCAGAAAGCCCCTGAGTAAAGCAATCCCGTCAGTGTAGGCTCAGAGAGGGGGCTAGGGCAGTGAATCCCTCCTCTTTACCGTCCTCCGGCCCTCAGCTATCCCGCTGGTGACTCCCACTGCCCAAACCAAACTGAGAGCCTGTAAGGAGGACTAGCTCGCAGAAAAAAAAAAAAAACATTCTGCTGGAGTCAGGGAATGGTGAGAAAGTTCTGGATCGGGAGGGGTCCACACCACTAACGTAACTGCTGGGCCACCTTAGATGGTCTTCTCGGGGAAACGAAATTCTTTCTGGGTGATTTTTGCATTTTAAGAGAGCATATTACTTTAACAAAGAACTGCCCAAGTCATTGAACAGATTCTCATTGACAAAAACTTAATCATTATTTCATAGATTTCCACTGAAAGTCTGGAGGATTAAAGGAAAATCTGAATATTCCTGCAGACTGATTGAATGCTTTTACATTTTAAAAATCAATTTCGTTTTTAAAAATACTATTCCTTTGTCTTCCAACTCTTGTATACATTAAATGTCATATAATTGGACAACCAGCTAGACTAGAAAGAGGGATGAATCACCTCAAATTAGACAATATTGCCTTATTTAGCTTTCTTGGCAACAGTCAGTTGTTACTTCCTTAATAAGTATCTATGCAGATAATGAGCATCTATTATAATTGTAAGACAAATTATATGTATTGTGAGCCACATGGTAATTATGTGAGGGAGAAAAAAGAATGGTCAGATAATAACCATAAACTTGGAGTAAATCCTGTCAAATTATAACCTTTTATAATAGGTCTTTGTTATAGCAATTCTTTGAATATGATTGCATTCAAAAACAGACACTGTGCAGACAAGTCTTTAAAATAAATACCTTCTTTGCATATATTCCTGATTAAGACTAAGATTTTATCTAAGTAATCAAGAACAAACAAGGACAACATAAGTATATGTGTGTGTGCTTATAGTTTGGTATTGCTCAGTAATAAATTTATGCTCACAAACTTTGAGGTACAGAAATAAAAAGTTATGTTTGGCTCCAATGATTTCCCATGCTGTTGTTCATATTCACCAACTGTGGCTGTCAGTCTGTTTAACCATAAGGGGAAAATATTTACAGAGCGTGATTGTAGCATCAAACAGGAAGGACGATATATTGAATGACAGGGCAGATTTAAGGTTTGTGTAATAACCTTGTGTACATCCTCCACTAAATGCGTCAGATTTTCTAGTTTAACATCTTTTGTTTTCTCATCTATAACCATTGTTTTTTTTTAATAAGATAAATAATTTAGGTCATATGCCTACTTTTGTTTCTAGATTAATCAAGGAAATCCTGTAAGGCACTCCTTCAGAGTGGCATAGCATGGGGTTCTTGGATTGCTTATAGCATATATGTTTTCTGAAATCAATCTAACTTCAGTTTCAATTTCTTGAAGTAAATTGAGTGTATAATTATAAAGACTACTCTTTTTTATGACCATCTTATTATGACTTTTTCTGTGTTTAGATTTTGACTGGATTGAGTAACAGAATTGACAAGCAGCAAAATAAGATAATTCAAGAATTTGTTATTTGTCAGAAAAGAATAATCTCTGTAAGACATGTAGTATGTGATTATTTTAGGTTACATTTGCATAATCCAGTTAGCGATACCTGCTATACCTCATTGTGGCTGGAAAAGTAGCCTTCAGGTCAGCTTACCTCAGTAAGACCAGTGATTCGTTGCAAGTTTTACCTGCTATCTATACTCCAGAAAAGAACCTGTGAAACTCAATCAAGCTATTGAGGACTTCAGTTGAAAATGTGCACCTGATTCTAGAAATACTTGCAGCAGGAGGGTGGGACCTGGTAGCTTCCTGAACAACCCTAGTTCAGCCACGTCTATTCTGATTTATTTTAACGGGTGGTTAACTTTTTCAAAGATTGCTCATCTGATCACTGTCCCTGAAAATGATTGTTTTCAGGTTTTCCATTTTTCTTTTTTAATCTTTCAGACATGAAAGTATAGTCCCATAGCACTTTATCCCTGGTGCACTGAAAAGTTAGGTTTGTATCACCATCCAAATATCCTTGCACTTTTCGATAGCATAGCTCATGAACAAAGAAAAATGGGAAGACCCTGCCCATTTTTGAGATTTGTATTCTAGTTCATTTGTTTCTAACAAAAAGAGATAGTTTTCTCATTCCAAATTCACAATCAGAGGTGGGTTTTTGGCCTGTTGTTTGAGGTGACTGTTTATAACAGCAGCATCCCATCCTGCGTTCAGGTCCTGGCTCTGTAGATTTTGATTTCTGCATCCCACTGTTGTGTGTGCCAAGAAACAGCAGGTGATGATGGCTCAAACACTTGGGTCTCTGCCACCCACAAGGGAGACCCAAACTGAGTTTTTAGCTTCTTGTTATAGTTTTGCCCAGCTCTGGATAATGAGTGAACTAGCGAGTGGGATCTATTTCATTGTCTCTCTCTGATAAAATAAACAAGACTTTTTTAAAAAAAAATCAAGTTCTACATTACAATTAGAAGTTGAGTATATTTATCAACTTTAATGCTATTTTCTTCAATCACCTATTTTTTGATATATAGTTGTTAATGTTTAGACAGAAGAGTTTGAAAATTGTGTCAAAGATATTTTCAAATTTGAAAGAGTAGAGACAATGAAGTGGAATTACTCATTAGAATGGAAATAATACAGGATAGCCAGTAAGAAAGCCAAGAAATGTTTTTAGACTTTTACATGGTATCCTTATTAATTTAAGCTAAAAGAAGACTGCAATTAGAATATATAGAAAAAGAAATTCAGAATTGTAATTTTTAAAGGATTTCCTTAATAGAAGCTTTTTGGCAATTATGCGTCCTAGTCAAAACTAATACGAGAATGTTTACTGTTATTATAAATATAGCACTTTCACATCATCACTCTGAGGCAACTGTCAACATGTCAGCTTACTTCCTGTGGATTCTCTCTTGGCTCACCTTGTAGAATTCTTCTAAATACCAGCCTATTATGCAATTGTTTCATTTTCCGTGGTAATGTATAAACTTCTGCAACTTCTAGTACGGAGCCACTGATTTCACTTGACAGCTGACTTGAAAGATGAGAACAGATGGAGTAGAAAATAACTGTGATTTAAAAACATCACAGCAACTTATCTGTGGCCAGTGACAATTGCTGTGGCAGTAACCATGCCAATTTCAATTATCAATGGTAGCAGACCATTGAGAAAGAGCAAGGGCAATCCTACAGGCAAGCAGAAGCTTATTGTTAAACGCTATGCATTGTGTGTCATTTTCTCGGTTCTTTAGAGTGTTAGTGAACAACTCAAATTAATGTGAAATATGTGTAACCATCTCATGTTGCATCACTTAATGGTAGTTATTTAAAAGTGACACGTCCAAGAAAAAAATAGTTGCACTAGGTCAATGATTATCAAGGGCCATATTATTTCCTGAATATTGGATAGTTCTTAAGATATTCTTATTAATGATTGCATAGTGTTTCACTATAGGAATATAATTTTTATTTAACCCTTTCCTTGTTAAAGAATTAAGTTTCTCTCATGTTTGTCGTCGGTTATGTTAGCTAAGTCATCTTGGTAGAACAACAGCAGTTGAAGTCAGGCTGGATTTGTGGAAGAGTAAAGTATAGATAACAAAGTAAAGAGACCTTACAATAAAACCTTCTCAGAAACTGACAGAGACAACAATAAGGCAGTAACTGGAGTGGCTGTGGATTATCAAGAAAACCTTAACACATCAATTTGCAAAGAAATTAATGGTCTTTGATTAGAAATTTTCTTTTCTTAATTTTTTTTAATTTGAAAGGCAGAAAGAGATTTATTGATTTTTTTTTTATCCATTCCCCAAAAGCCCACAACAGTTAGTACCTGGCCAGGACAAGGCCAAGAGCCAGGAAATTCATCATGATCTCCTCTGTGTTTTTCAGGGGCCCTAGTACCTAGGTTGTAATCTACTCCCTTTCCAGATAGGTGCGTTAGCCGGAAGTTAAATCAGAAGCACAACCAGCAAACCTTCAACTTAAACTCTAAGATGGCATTGCAGTGGTGGCTGAGGCAGCTGTTCCCAATTGCCAACCCCTAGAAACATTCTTTAAAAAGATACACCCCAAATTACAATACACACTACGATCAGTTATGTAGAGAATTGAAAATAACTCATACTTCCTGGGGGATGTCATATTTAAGTCAGTATTATACCTATGAAATTCCCATTAAACCAAGAATAAGGGTGTGAGGCAATTAGTCTAGCAGGTTAAACACCCGTTAGGATTCTCACATCCCACTTCAGAGTTCCTGAATTCTAGTCCTAATTCTGTTCCCAGTTGTAGTTTGCTTTTTTTTTTTTTCTTTTACTCAGATTATTCAGTTTTTCACACCTGGTTTCAGAGTTGTT